AATTTATAACATCACATCACAGTGTAGTGATATTACCTTAAATAAATATTCTTATTGTAATATATAGGTGGAAAATGATTTTTGTATAATTTTTTTGTACAACTTGAAATGTCATTAAATGATCGATTCTTTTAATTTATGTAAGACCGATAATATTAAATGCATCAATTCATTTAATGATATGAGAAAGTTGTATAAAATAATGATATAAAAAAATTATCCATATAGCATTACCTATATTTAGGTTGTAATTACTGTCACATGTAAAAAAATAAATGTTGTAATTATTTTTTAAATATAGATCAAATATAAATAAATATATTAAATAACATAGTGAGCAATTAATTTTAAGTGCAGAAAATATAATGGTTTTTTTGATAAAAGTGGATGTTAATTACATTTAATTTCACAAAAAGAAGATTTTTGCCAAAAAAAAAAGTTCAATTAATCGCATTTTTTTATGTTAATTATTCGCATTTTATCACATGGAAAATTCTGGGTTGCATGATCTCAACTCAACATCATGTTGAATCACATGCTGTACTTTTTTTTTTTTTTTTTGTGCATAAAAGAAGATGATAAGAAATCACATGCTGTACTTTGGTTGAGCGGCTTCCTTACCTACAACGTTTTAACCCCACCAAATCGGCTTTCCTACTTACTGATAAAGTTTAGTTCAGCCCTTCATGTTTTATTTGACTCACTTAAGTCCTCACGCTTGCAACATGAAATAAACTTAACTCAATACTCGGGTTATTAAAAATCAAATTTATTTTGGTGGATGTTTCACCTTTTACCCTTTAACTTCTTCACCTTCCACTTCTATTATGTAATAATAATATTAATTAAGTTTATCATGCAACTTCTTTTCTTTCTTTTTTTTTGTATTTTAATTATATAATATGAAGTAATTATTTCTTATTTTTATCGTATCACACTCATATGTTATATGCTTTTAATTTAAAATTTTAAAATTTAATTAGTATTTAAATTTAAATATTAATAATTAATAAAATAAGTTTTTAAATTTTAAATTTAATTTTAATTAAATAAAATGATATTATAAAAAATTATTACTATAATTTTTTAAGAATCAAAATTAATATTTATTTTTTAAATATAATATATAATATTTATGTATAAATAAATTAATATTTTAATATATCCTTAACCATTTAATAATATGTCTAAATTTATCAAGTTATAAATAAAAAATCCAATAAAGAGAAAAAAAATTTGTGTGAGATCCACTAACTCCTTATTTAATTAAGAAAGAGAAAAAAAATCCAGTTTTTTAAACGAAATATATCTGTAAAAATCAACAAAAATCTTTGGCGGATTCTCCCCGTTCAGAAGAAAAAGAAATGTCTATGTTTATATATACCGCCACCACCCTCAGAATTTCTCACTCCTTGGCCGCAGCTGCCTTCTCCTTGTCCTCGCCCAAATATACTCTCCGTCTCCCTTTCGCTTTTGCCCCCTCTTCCCTCTCCTCCTGGATTGCTTCCTCCTGTCCTACCTACCCTAACCCACATCTCTCTTTTCATTCCCAACCTCCGTTTGCCATGGGCGATACTCCCGATGCTGGCATGGACGCCGTCCAGAGGCGCCTCATGTTTGAGGACGAGTGAGCTCCTATTTTCCCTTAATTTCTTCATTTACTTCTGTTTTTTTTTTTTGCAGTTCTGTGTTTTGCTTTGATGTTGTTTGATTCCTGAGAAAATAATGGGAAAGAAGTGTTGGTGGAGGCTGGGTCAATGGGTTTCACTGGGTTCAGTTCAAATGTTTTATTCTCTTTTAATTTTGCCGGCTTTGGTAATCAAAGTGCAGAGATTTTTTTTTTTTTTGATCGGCCTAAGTGCAGAGATTTGGTATGTTAGGTTGTGCAAAGTCCTCTAATTTATGTCCATTTTCTCTAAGTGGAAATGGGTTTTTCCCCTTAGTTTTACTCCTTTTTTTTTTTTTTTCTTTTGGTTGATTTTCCATTTAAATGTTTTGGATTAATTGAGAAAATGGGTTGACTTCATTACTCTTCATGAATCTTTCCCAGAAGGTCTCAAGTGAAATAATTGCCGTTTCCTTTGTAGACTGCTCCCATGAAGGTTGTATAATTTTGTAGAATTTTAAGAACATTAGGAGTTGGAACCTGCCTTCTCAGGGATGCCATATCTTTTATTTATTTATTTATATATTTATTTTGGATGTTAAAGGAGAGCAATTGCTTAAGTAGGGGAATTCAGTAATATCTTCCAACCAACTTGCGTATGCTATCCATGGTCTGCAAGGGCGTGGATGCTATATCTCCCTTCTGATTAGAAACAAAAGGAATGACTCTTAAATGGTTCTGCAATCTTATGACCTCATCTATTGTTTAGCCCAGCTGGCAATCTTTTCAACTTCTGTTTAATTACAGGAGCATTGCTCTTAACTGCCTTTTTTTTTTCTCCTCTCATCATGAATGAAACAAAGACCCTCCAATATTTCCTAGCTGCTGTGGGCTTACCACCAATCTTTTCAAAGGCTGTATCCCAAAGGCCTGTGAGTTCTCATGATGGTTGCTAATGACAATAAAAATACTAGATGCATTAGTGTGTGGAGGAACATTTTCAGTGAGCAGCTCATTAATATTCCAGCATTCATTAGTGTTGTCTACATCAGACTCAAGAATATAATCTTAGCACTTCCTGTGATGAGGTTTTTGAATGAAGTACATGTTGTTTCTGCTTCCCTATATTTAATTGATTGAAAAGAAGGAAAAAAATCTTCATATTGCCAATCCTGCCTGTTTTATTTGAGATCCATCAAGGTTTAAAGTCTCTAAGGGTGGCTATGCCACAAAGAAACTTCTTTGATTTGAGTGACACTCATTAAGTGTGATTTTATATAGGTAAATGTTGTAATGCACAATGAGATTGAGACACAATCGTTGCTTCTTTTCTGTATTATCTCATTTGAAGCTAACCTTGTATAGCATTTTTGTGTAACATCCACCATTTTTATTCTTGCTAATTTAATGATTTCTATTACAATTTTTGCAGATGCATTTTAGTGGATGAAAATGATAATGTTGTTGGACATGAATCCAAATACAACTGTAAGAAAAATATTTATAGTATATATGCTCATTCCTATTTCCCGTACATGTATTTTTAAGGGTTTTTTCTTATGTTGACCACATGTCTTGTCATTTGAATATTTTGGAAATTAATTCCTTCATTGTGCCTATGGAAGTTTCTAGTTATGTTTACTTTCACCAGAGCCACTTTCATAATTTTTTGTGGTGGTTAGTTATATGTATATTCTTTCAACTTCCTTTTTGGTTTGGCATGTTATAACATTAGCTACGTGCAGTTGTAGGTGGTTATTTGCTTTGAATGAGCATTGATATTTAAATTAGAGGTTCACATTTAGCCAATACCATGTATTTAATTCGGGGGTTCTCCTGTTAATCTACATAATACTAGTTGCATTTTTATTGATTGTATGGAGTCTAGCATAATCCTTTGCAACAAATTTGAACCCTTTGCTGCTGCCCTTTGAGGTGATTCGGATGTTGTCCTCATAATTATACTCATGCTGAGCAAATTAATAAAACATACACACAGGGTATAAATTGGAAAACGGCTGGCCAAAAAGAAAGGGTATAAATTGGAAAACAGATTAAGTTTTTTTTTTTTTTTTAAAATAATGTTTCTGCTGCTGGTGTTGCTTTTGTCCCCCTCTAATATGCATCCTAATTTCTACATTGTGGGACTGGGTTTATGATTTTTAGTATGCTTTTGCTTATTGAAGAATTGGCATATCAAGTAGTTGATGACAGGGTGTCTATGTTGGTTTCTTTTTTTTCAATATATATATATTCATATGGTGGTTTGGAAAAGACCTTTCTTACATGGACCAAAAATTTCTGTAGATTTTGGAACAGTTATAACCATTTTCTTGAAACTTACATGGGAATACCTTTCTCAAAAAGGTTCCACTAATTATGCTTGTTTCCATATCTAAGCACTGAGTTTTAGGTGCAGTATCTATTACCTGTCATAAATTCATGTTAGACAGAAATTTTTTTGTACTCTGATATGTATGCTTTTGTTAGATCATGCCCTTGACCCCCAATACTGATATCAAGATAAATGCAGGTGCAAGAAATGTGCTCATGCATGTCTTTACTTAATTTGAGGATGTATTATTCCATTCATTTCATGTTAGCATCTAGTACATTATCTTAAGTGGAGCTATTCATATTGATTGATACATGGGGTTAACTTTTTTTGTAATTTCAATCTTGTATCACGGTTCCTGTTAAGTATCCATCCACTTTATATGGCATGATCATGTTTCTTAAAATCTGTTTTAGCATGTGAGAGGGTTGAGATTTGAGACTCATTAATGAGAAATTGGCCTCTGCTTTTCTTTGAAGAAGCAACAAAAGGAGAAGGTCTGGCGTTCTTTTATGGGAAGAAATATATTATGTGCATTAAGGTTTCCTTTTTAATTTTCTTTTGGCTTTTAACCACAGAAGATTAAAGAAAAGTTGAAATCTTTGGTTTTGGTATAGAATCTTATAATGTAATTCAAAATTTGTCACCTGGCCTACATTCTTTGCTGACTTATTGCACTGCACTCTTTATCATTATTAGACCATGTCTTGATTAGTTGATGTTTTCTTCTCGTCTTTGGTCAAATGCTTTATTTCTGCAACTTTGTTAACCTGAAAATCTGCAGGTCATTTGTGGGAAAAGATTCAATCTGGAAACATGCTGCACAGAGCTTTTAGTGTCTTTTTATTTAACACAAAGTATGAGTTACTCCTTCAGGTAATGTGGCTCTAATTTGAGATTGAGAATGGCTATACAGAAGCTTTATCTTTGAAGCCTTGCATCATAGTGGCATATTAAAAATAAAATGTAAAAATATTATTGGTTGTACCAAACAAGATAATTGTTATGTGAAGTCATGCACCAATGCGAGAAAAGGGTGGAAACTGACCTATTGAATGAATTTGTTATAGGAACAGTCTAATGTTTTGATTTAGTCAAGGTTGCATTTGGTTTATTTTCCAACCTGCATGCTATGGTCACCAGACACCAGGCTTTAACAGTTAAACTTTTTGTAGTATTGCATATGTTGTTGGAAATTGCAAATTACAAATTACAAACACATCAACTTTTAACTAATGAAAAATCATGAATTAGTTACTTGGCTTGAACATGTTTATGTGTAGTGAAATGGTGATTGTAAAATTTGGTGACATTTTATTGGTTTCATGAGCAGCAACGATCGGCAACAAAGGTGACATTCCCTCTTGTGTGGACAAACACCTGTTGCAGCCATCCTCTGTACCGCGAATCTGAGCTCATTTATGAGAATTCTCTTGGTATGTAACTCCTACACCCTGCTGAAGTTTTTTTTTTTTTGCTTGCTATTGCTGATAGTTCCATTATCTTTCCCCTTCATGTTGGTTACTTACCAGGGGTGAGGAATGCTGCTCAAAGGAAGCTTTTGGATGAGCTGGGCATTCCTGCTAAAGATGTGCCTGTTGACAACTTCACTCCACTGGGTAGAATGCTGTACAAAGCACCATCTGACGGGAAGTGGGGGGAACATGAACGTAATAATTCCAACTCAATTTACTTTCTCCTTGATTTCGATACTCTTGGCAAGGAGGGACCTAGTATTACTTTAATGTTGATAGCTCATATCCATTTCTACACCATGTCTTTCATAGTTGCATGAATCTGATATTCAATATAGCATTTGCTACCATATTGTTTGATGATCACTGAATTTTATTTTATTTTTTTCTTGTAGTTGATTACCTGCTATTCATTGTACGAGACGTTAACGTTAATCCAAATCCCGATGAGGTAGCTGATATTAAATACGTGAACCGTGAACAACTGAAGGAGCTATTGAGGAAGGCAGATGCTGGCGAGGAAGGTCTTAAACTCTCACCTTGGTTCAGACTAGTTGTGGACAATTTCTTGTTCAAGTGGTGGGATCATGTTGAGAAAGGCACCCTCAAGGAATCAGCTGATATGAAAACCATTCACAAGTTGACTTGAGAAAAGCCGTTCTAGAGTCTAGGTGGGCATATTTTGATGTTGATCCAGAAGAAAGATTCCAGGAGAATTTGGACTTGAAATGGTTCTGAGAAATAAGGATTTTTGGCTTCCTATTGTTATCTTTTTTCTAAAACTGGACAAGTTAAGTCATTTGATTCTAAATTTTTGTTGTACCATGAAACTGCCCAGGCGTGTAATTTAGATTTGGCTTCAATAAAAACTTGTTTCTTTTTCTTGTTACCTGTTTTAACTATGACCCTGAATATTCGAATGTTTTGTATTCAGATATTTGTTAGATCCTCTGCGCATGTTATCTTACCATAACCTTTCAATTTTTTTAAACATTAATTTCATATAAAAATTTAGCAAGGTATTTTTTACTATTTAATTTTAATTGTTT